TATATATATATATATATATATATATATATATATATATATACACATATATTAATTCAATGTCAGTGTGAAATAGACATTTACCTAACTACCCTATTCATCACATAAATAAAATAAGTATAAATAATTGCTTATGATGCTTTCCAATCTTGGATTTCAAATGTAAAATGTAAGCAATTTCAAATTATTTTCAGTAAAAATCCGACAAAGCTAGATAATGCAAGAGGTGCATTTACATACACACAAGTACATTTGGCTCGGCGCTGCGCTACCGTTTGCCCCGTATGAATTACTGTCAAATAAAGGCAAACGAATGCTCGTGCGAACTCTTTAGTAGTATCGCTTTGCACACCAAGTTGCGTATGTATAGCTTTAATAATACATATTTTAAGGATGGGGCGATTGCCGGCGGAAGAGCCGCGACGATTTAGAAAGTATACAAGCAACGGCGATGATAATTATACTCGTTATGACGGCCTCGACGAGAGAGCATAATTCCTTCATTCTTTTTTTTGTTCTTCTTTTAAGTTAACCTCCAGCGGCGGCGCGGCGGTGCACAGCATGAGTCTCGGGTAGATATTTAATTTCGTCCTGAAAGAATAAGCCACGCGGGCTAATTTACAGCTCCGGTTGCGCCGCCGACGTCCTGACTGCGCTTACATCGCTTTTCATTCGCTTCTTTGTCTTTACTCTTTCAACTCTCCTCCTCCGCCCCCACTGTCGCTTTACTAGCTTTACCTCTCGTTTTTGTTGGCTATTTTTTCATAAGATTTCGTGGCATGAAATTTTTTGCCCGTATCTTTCAACGTTAGCTTGGAGATGGAAAATTATAGTACAATTTTAGATCGCAGTTTTTGGCCTAAAGCCAAAATATTTATTAATTTTTTTATCTTTTTTTACGAGTCTAATATATTTACTTGTTTCATTATCTAATAAGCACTGGGTTTTCCTTATTTTTCGTGAATCTTTTATCCGTCTATCTATCTCTCCTCCTCCTCCTCCTCCTCCTCCTCCCCTGTCTCTCTCACTCACTCACTCTCACTCTCTCACTCTCTCACTCTCACTCTCTCTCTCTCTCCATCGACAAAAATATATTTGTACTTTTAATATATCTTTTTGAATCCTGCCAAAGTTAAGTATATCAATGTAAATAATAACGCGAGCTTTATTACAAAATTGTAATGCGATAATTTGTAAAAGGACCTTAATCAAAAAGAATTTATTTTTGAAATCTAAATGATTCGTTGGATTTTAATTCTATATTCACTAATTAATTCATCACCGACCTATTTTTCTTTTCTCTTTATTTCGATAATAAAGCAATATTTCAACGAATCTATAATTATGCTAAATTATGTAAATTGCATAAAAAATGTATTTACTTACAGTGCATAGAAGAACGCCATTATTTGCCTGTTTGAAAATTTTAAAGACCTCTGTTCGATCTTTTTGAGACATATTTCCATGTAATTTGAAAAACTCGATACCTACTAGAGCATCCGAGTCTTCATCTTCATCGTCAATGGGTTGATTTAATATGGAAGATAAAATCTGTTCATGATAATCTATCATATCTTGGGTAGCCATGAAAATCAAAATCTTATGGTTTCCTTGATTCTAATAATAAAATATTAAATATTATGATAATGTAAAATAGCGTAATGTAAAAATTGCTCAAATGAAAATTCTTTACTCGACATTTTCCAGCAATGTAAGCACTTAATGTGACCATTCGAAGTTTTGGTGGAGTTACAATATAACTTTGAACGACACTTTGTGGAACAATCAAATCCTCGTTTGCTTCGTTCATACTTCCTCCACTAGCCTCTACATTGTCTTTGGCAGCATCGACAAAAACTGGATTATGCATTGTTAAACCAGCAAGTTTCTCTACTGCATGAGTTAAAGTTGCGGATAACAAGATAGTTTGCCTTTTTGGTGATTTGCTAATATCAGGAATTATTTTCTCATCCTCGTTTCTTTTATTATCTAATGACAATACTGACTTTGAATTTACCAGATCAGATTCATGATTGCTATCTTCATCTGTATCCGAATGATATTGTCTTCTAGAAATTTCACTTTTTTTTACTTCTGTCTCATCTTCTATATTATTATCAGATTTATCCTGATTATCTAAATTTTCATTTACATTTTTAGTCTTAGAATTTGATTTAGCGTGCTGCCGAAGCATACTTAAAGCATCGTATTCCAAATTGTTAGATACTTTAGATTTATTTTTAAGTTGATCGTCGTTTCTACGAAATTGGTATTGATACTGTTTATTTGTAATTTTACTTTTCATTCCTTCCGTATCATCTCCTATATTATTATCAAATTTATTTTGACTATCTACATTATCATTTACATTTTTAGTCTTAGAATTTGATTTAGCGTGCTGCCGAAGCATACTTATAGCATCGTATTCCATATTACTAGATACTTTAGATGCATTTTTATGCTCAACGTCATTTCTACATAATTGGTGGTATTGATTCTGTTTATTTGCATTTTCATTTTTCATTCCTTCCATATCGTCTACTACATTATTATCAAATTTATTTTGATTATCTAAATTTTCATTTACATTTTTATCATCAGCGTTTGGTTTAATGTGCTGCCGAAGCATACTTAAAGCATCGTATTCTAAATTACTAGATTCCGAAGGTGTATTTTTAAGTACATCAACAATTCTATAAATGTAATATAAAAATAATTAAATGATAAAGAGTATATAATTAAATAAAAATAGGGCAAGTGTATAAAATATGCATTACGTACTCTGAAATATCCTTCTCGTAACCCATATCAAGCATTCTATCTGCCTCGTCTAAGACAAAATACTTAATACTGTCAAGCTTTAAGGCCTTTGTGTGTCTTATATGATCTAGTAATCTTCCAGGTGTCGCAACTAAGATATTACAACCTTTTCTTAATCTAGCCTTTTCTGCTTTTCTTTTTTCTCCACCGACTAAATAACCTGGTACAAGCCAAGTAAACGGCTAAAATATAGAAATAAATTTTAACTATATAAATGATTTAATGCGTGCAAATATATATGCATGTACGCTTGTATGTATGTGTCACTTACTTTGATTAATTTCAAAAAGCATTCATACGTCTGAAGGGCAAGTTCTCGTGTCGGAACTATCACAAGAGCATTTATACCACTAATTCTAGTTAATTTTGGTTTAACACTTTGTAAATTTTCAATTATTGGTAATGCGTAAGAAAGAGTTTTGCCAGATCCTGTTTGCGATCTTATTAAAGTATCGCTACCAGATAAAATTACAGGAATTGCTATTTTTTGAACCGTAGTCATCGTTGTAATATTCATATTTTGTTCTAAATTTAAGACCGTAAATACGTGAATACCTAAATCGCTAAATTTTTCTGCAGAAAAAACCTCCTCGTTAATTGGTTTGACAAGCCTCTGTCCTATGTTGGGTACAGAAGGATTATTCTTAAACAGTGAAAAAAAATTTCCAGTTTGATGTAAACGGGAACGTGTATTCTTTCTTTTAAAATCAGCTTTTGTTTTATAATTTTTTTCTACACTCTTATCGACTCTTGATTTCTTTAATCCATCAGGAGGTTTACTTTTTATATTTGAAACAGTGGAAACAGTTGAATCGGACATTTCGGGTTTTTGTACTTGTTCACTTGTAAATTTACTATCCGTATCGTTACTTTCAAGAAATTTCACTTTCTTCGAATCGGTCACTTTGAAAATACTCGAAAGAGATTGGCTTGGTTTATCCCCATCACGTTTTCTCTTTTTAGCCAAAATAGTTTTAATGGGATTATCTTTGACATTCTTTGTGAAAGATATTAAAGTTCCATCGCATTTGTTCTTCCTGTTTTGTACATTACTTTTTGTTTTTCCTGCTAATGATTTTAAATCTTTTGACGATTCGTTGGACAGTGGCTTTGCATTTTCGTGTGAAATAATAGCGGTGGACTTTTTTAAAATAGAACGTTTAGGAACTGCGGTAGGCCGATTCGCTCTTTTCAAGTTATTCGAAACAATAGTGACTAAAGACTTTTGTTTTATTCTTTTCTTGGCCCCGATTAAAAGACCTTTCGAAGATTCGATAGCGTGAAACTTTTTGAAAGGCCTCTTCACTCTTTCGATAGAGGGTCTATTTAACTTTTTCAGACACATCTCGTTAACAATTTGTGCGGTCTGTTGAGAATTTAAATTAATAAATAGAAGCCCAAACCCGACAAACAAACTACTTCACAAGCTACTTACGGTTTTCTCGGAATTCGTCGTATTCCCAGTGATGTTCAAACAAATATCAGTATCTTCCTTAACGGCCATTATTATAAACAAAAACAAAAAACAAAAAAAAAACAAAAAAAAACTATTATATCAACGCGGCACTCTTAGAATTCAAGTAAGAAAATAATAGAGGATGAAATGAATTGCGTATAACCTCTAAAGTCACGTGTTCACGACACAAACCAAAACCAAAACACACAGCTGCGATCGTTCAAACCTTCCTGCTACGTACTGCACAATTGCGCATGCGCGAAAGATTTAACAGTTTCGCGACTTAGCGCTGTTCAAAATTCAACTTCTCATAGCTATAAAGACGAGTCTTTATCTATTCTCGTGTTTAGATCACAAATGACATTCAGTGAGACAGCCCAGAGCTACTGATAGGCAGTTGCGTTATGATTAACGCCTCAGTTTTACAATTAATCAAATTCGATATTAAAAGAGTTTAATATGTTTTGCTCAAAGTTCGTGCAAGAATTGGTGCATCATTTTTTTATAGTCGGTAGAACTGAAATAATGGATATTTGTGAATTTGTGGTTATTTAGTATAAGAGTTTTAATTACTAATTATAGTGATCGGGGGTTTTTAATTTTCTATGTAATACAGGAAAATGCTCGCAAATTTAATAACCCAAAGATAATAATAGTTTAGGGCTTCCAAGCAATAAGCTGTAAAAGTAAACATCATATGGTAATAGGACTATTTACATTTTTTTTTTCTCTATTGGCCGCTTCGCTCTATCATGTCAAGTCTAGAAATCGACACGAAGAAGTGTAGTTAGTTTTAACAATTGACAATTATAACTTATCGAGTCATATGTTATAAACAAAACAAAAACAAAACAAAAACAAAAAACAAAAAAAATATATATATATATATTTATTATTATTATTATTATTATTATTATAAAGATGGGTAAAATGTGTTGTATAAGCTTGACGTTGGCTGTAAAACTCATTGGAACATTTGGATTGGTAAATTTTAAAAAAATTATAAATCAATTGTAATATAAATGCTTTTAAGATTTGTCTACTTTCATAATGCAATCTATTGATACGCTTAACATTTATTCATATAAATTGTACTTGATGAATTTGTTAAATAAATTCATTGTTCATTTAAACGGAAATTTTGAGAGCGAGAGAGAGAGAGAGAGAGAGAGAGGAGAGAGAGAGAGGGGGAGGGGAGAGAGAAAACAATATTCTATATTATGCAAATCATATATAGCATTATACCATCAATAATATTTGTAATATAATTTTTAATAAACGAATGCTATAATTTCTGTTATGTATACTCAACATCACTAGTCTACTGTTGATTAGTGTTAAACGTTTTTTCACCATAATTTAGTTCTATCGAATGATGTTCGCTTCAATAATAATTTAAAATCTGCAACCTCGTAATATTTTTCGACTCAAACGAGACTCAAAGGAATAAAAACGTGAAATGCATATTGTTATTTCAGTCTCTGTCAATTCTTATGATCAACATGTTGGTGAGCGATTTCTTCTCGAAGCAACACGAAGAAGAGTTCATAATAGCCCTAGAATCATGGATGCTCTTTGGGTTAAATTGGACTTATGTCATGAAAAACCTTAAAGTTGTCGAGACAGGTAAGTCGTCGGCATTTATTGAATCATCAATATCACATTCCGCGCACTATTATCATTAATTGAGCGTCGACAAACAGCAGACGAATCGTCATTTAAAAATAACGTATTTGTAGAAGGAGAAGGTGTGATTTAAGTAAAGAAAATGTTTTTACAGCTCGTACACTGTTGACTTGTGTTCTTATCTACTCGGTGCTCTCTCTCGTTGCTAATGCTCTCCTGGCCTTGAGCTCTCTTTTGGTAAGTGTAGCGTCGAAGCAATTCTTGGCGTCAAAAAAAAAACGAAAAAAAAAAACGAAAAAAAAAACATTGACGCTTAGTCATTTAAAGATTTGTTAGACGATTGTAATTCGGCTTTTCAAAATAATCAAGTAAATGAAAATTATTCCCCGAAATTGCACGTAATCTTATATATAAATCTAATAACTTGCTAGAGAACAAAATTTTCCTAAATCACTCAAGTTGAGAGCTTAAGAATTTCATAAATAATCGATTACAGCTATCATAATAATTGTCGAAAATATTTAATTACGATCTCGCAAATCATTTCTGTTAATCGTTTGCTAAAAGTAGTCTCCTAACATTAATTAATACATGAAACAATAATGAATGCTTCTCCATATTTTTAATAATTTTTTCTTTCTAGAAAAAGCCAAATTATGTTCTAATGTGGATGTATATGCAAATGATTAGCATATTCGATCAAACGATCGCTTTGACGATGCAATTAACACGCGACGACAAGTCTGATGGAGAAGATAAGTCAGCTTGGTACATTCCTGTATGCAGTATTTATTTACGTAAGCATTATATCATATTAATTTTTCGGTTGCTTATTGAGTGTAAAGCAAATTGTGCGTTAGAAACGGCAAACGACAAGCGTACGACTTTTATTTGTCGTAATGCCGTGATGAAGTCTTGTTATGGTAACGATCGTGTCCAAAATATTATGATGAAAAAACTGTTTTGCGCATTAAACAAAAACAACGAGCTATCTAATATCAATTTTTGACAACGCTCTATGATGATATAATGACTGTACATCGATAAGCGTATCTATTTAAACTAAGCTTTTCAAATGTTCGATAAACGTTAGAGCCAAATTCACAGTCTCGGCATAAAACATCATAATACATGGCTGTACAGAGTTTAACGTGGATTACATGCCAATGACGCCATTCAGTGCCGTTGGAGATAAATTATTATTAGTTTAGCGATGAAAAATATGAGGCTTTATTCAGGAACAAATTTGCTTACAGTGATAAGCGGTTACTTTTGGATGGTGGTCTCGGCGGCTCGCAGAGAGTGGATAAAGAATAGGGAAGATTGCGATCAAGTCATCGCGATTGATACGATGAGATCTCCGCAAATCTCGGACAATGCAAACATGCCCAAGTCGCCGTCATTCTTATCAAGCAATATCGGTGGTATCGCTTACGATTTTCCCAAGTCACTGCCACCGCCAGCATACAACGTCGTTTAATATCCTCGACGATCAGCGCTACTTTTGACTATTCCGGTCGCCCCTTTGTTTCACGAATGGGAAATTAGAGGAGCAATTTTAGCGAATGTACGATGTAGGTCGGTGCCAGTCAATATATCGAGCGAATTCGGAACTCACTCATCCAAGCGAGATTCCCTCGATCTCTCATTCAATACCTGAGTATTTGATACCAGTTGTAAATGCGCATAAATCTGTTATATTATTTATTTATTTTTATACGAGCACATTCATTGTAACGCCATTCTTTGACTTTGTAAATAAAGACACATTAATATACGTTTAAATTTTTTGTTTTTGTTTGTCTGTCTATTTGTTTGTTTGTTTTGTTTGTTTGTTTTGTTTGTTTGTTTTGTTTGTTTGTTTGTCTGTCTGTTTGTCTGTTTGACCATTCGTATTGTGTTTAATTTGAAAAACTTGTTAATTTCGCGATTAGTTTGACAAATACGACAATTTGAAAAATACGCTATTCTACGAAACATCTAAATGCGTAAGCTTCTACGTACTTTTGTCCCAATGGTAATTGAATGTTCCGAGGCTGTGCTGCAGCTATGAGACATCGTTACGTTTATTTATCTAGAAACTAGGACGTTATAACGTTGGGTACAATATGCTTCGTTAAAGAAACACTCGGTTTTCACGTTCTCCTATAGCTTATTCAATATGAAACAAGATAGAGAGAAATTGATACATCCCACTGAATCGCGATATCAATCATTGACGATGGATTTCAATGAAAACCCAAAAGATTCCACAATGATAAAAGACCGGTCGTCGACATCTGCAAAGAAACTGAAAATACAATTACCCAGACAGCGATACACTTAAAATCGGACCGTTTTTATAAATAATCGATGGATTGAACTGGGCTTTGGGAGAAATTCATAATGCCATTATAGGTCGGTCGGTAAGGACGGCAGGATATAAAGGGCAGGACTGTCACCGGGCATTCATTATTAAAGGCGTTGCGCCAAGTGGTGACGTAGCGTGATCCAAAAAGAAAGAAAAAGAAAAAAAAAGAAAGGGCCGCGATAAGAGTGCCAACGCGACGCAACATCGATCGCTCGATACAACTGGCTCGCGTCCCCATTTCCTTTTTAAATCGTCATCCCACGGGACAATTCATCTCCGTCCTACGCGCCTACTCCTTTTCCCTTTTTTCTCAAAAGCGTATTGCGCTACGCCGATATAAATCGGGGCCGGGGACGCGGCGCTAATAGCGTGTATCAAATGCGCGCATATGTGTACGGAAAACATGAGAGATCGCCGACGCTCGAACGTCAAAATACACTTTTAAACTTCGCTGGGATCGCAATCGCTCGCCGCCTATTCCCCTGGGAGAGGGCGACTCTTCTTTTGAGGAATGAGGGTGAGGCGAGATGGACTTCGATGCGAAGCCAGCGATTTGTTAGGAAATTACGTCGACTTTCGTGATACTTTATAGAGTCGATAATGGACCGCAGAGTTCAGCAGCGAAGTTATATAGCTTTATTCGCGACGGAAGTTGGAATAATAAAAATGGACGAGTCCTTCCTTGAGCATTTATCGCACAAATCAATACGAGTCCTAGGAGTCGTCGGGATAAACGTCGCGACGGCTCGGTTAAAGCTTAAAAAAACTCGCCAGAGTTGAATAAATCAGAGCGCTGCTGTAGAGGCCCGAGACCTCCTCCCACAAGCCCAGCGCCCATCAACGTCTTTACAAAGGCCTGCCGTGGGATTAACAAAGCAAAAAACAAACAAACAAACAAACACATAAAGAAAAAAAAAGAGCATCGAGCCAGGTAAATCGATATTAAGCGCAAAACTGTGACGATCGTGAATTCCGCGAAGCCCGCTTTGCTCGCTCTTTAAAAGGCGACGGGGGATGAAGAAAAAGTACCCACGTTGATGACGGGGCGGCAACGGGGAGACAAAAAGTGCCTGGAGCAAAGGAGAAGAGTGACGGAGAGGAAGGCAGTTCCCTCATCTCGCGGGAATGAGATTTAGCTGGCAGTGAAGGGGCTGTCTTTACAGGAAAGAGGCAAGTTAGTTTTATTTTACAATCCATCGGCTTGGAGTTCGCGCTGCGAATGTATACAGAACTCGCTCGATCCCGTCTGTGGCTGTCAACTAGTGTTTTAAAAGTTTGCGACAGCCTACAAATTGGCTCGCTCAGTTCTTTTTAAAAGCGCGCGTCGCCAACCAACCGGGACAAACGAACCCCCAGCAGCTGCCCGACCCCCGCAGGTAATATTCTTTGCGCCTCTGTGAGCGCCGTCTACGAGGATCGACATAGGTTCTAGGGAGTCGGGCAGGGTTGGCGGTGGCTGGAGATTGAGGTTGAGGAGGTGGTGGAGGAGGAGGTGGTGGAGGAGGTGGTGGTGGAGGAAGAGGTGGAGGAGGGAGAGGCGGTGGAGGAGATGGAGGAGGAGGAGGAGGAGGTGGTATGACGAATTATGAATGTCGCAAGAGTCCGAGGTGAGTGTATAATGCGCGACAATGTCGACGTGATCAACTTGCTTGACTTTTAACGGCAGGAGTCGATGGATTAGCGGCAGGAGCTGCTTCCTCAACGTTATTTCAACTCGATCTCTCCGAGCGACATTCGTTGCAATTTTTAGAATAAGCGCCGGCACTTAAGGATTCAGAGGCTCTCGGTTGCACAACACTTCGGGAAAATTAATTTTCCACACTTTCTTAGCAAAAGCTCGTTTAACACTTCCCTCCCTGCTGATATTGCACTAAATTTAGAATTTTTGTTCCGCTTTCCCCATTCACGATCTCATTATCCCTAACCACTATTTATCGTTTTCTCTTGGTTTAGCCTATTTTTTAATATTGTAAATCAGGAGTTAATGACATAAATTAAGATTGACAGTTCATTTTTTGTAACATAATATGAGAGACGAATCGTAAATCCATAATGCCGATTGATTCATCATTGGACAAATGAGTTTAAAATTTTTCATCCATAGTCTGTAAATTGTCACATGTTCATTTTAAAATATGAATTTTCATCCAGATTGAGAAAATGGTGTCTACCGCAAAGAAATTAATGCGTCACGAGGTGAACGTCGATTAGTGAAAGATAAAGAGTATCGCTAACTATCGATAACTAATAAGTTGACTGCGCTTTTAATATACTCGGACACTGGCATTTAGCAGTGCATTTAGCTAATAATCTAATTCTATTGGAAAAATGTTGACGATTTGCAACACAACGTGTTCAAAATGAAAGACGCAGGGGCGCTCGATCAAGCGCAATAGAAAACGCCTGGCAATCGATGCGAAAAGCCCGACAACCACTTTTAATCGTAATATCAATGACTGAGTGGAAAAGCAATTCCCACGCATTTGTCCCGTGTACGGCAATCGATAAATTACAAGTGCATCGAGAGTTCATCCAGCAGCTATAGAAGCACGCGAGGGAGGGGGCGGCGTCGCAATCGAAGGGTAATTATTAATCGATTTCGCATTAATTGTTTTCCGAGACGACGCGAGCTAAGTGGGATGTTGTGTTCGACGGCCGGACGGGCGGCTCAGCATCGCCTCGCTCTTGACTTCATAGGTTGAAGATTAATTGCTCGATACCCGGCGCCATTATGTGTGTCATACGAGCCGCTACAAACCCCTTGCGACTCGCCTGTAAAACCTTTGCCGAGCACTCGGAAACTTCTCCCCGTGTATGTTGCTATATATATATATATATATATATATATATATATATATATATGGCGCAGCTCGAGGCCGTCAACGAGACGATCCTTTCTCGCATTTCTTTCGAACTGGACTCCGAGGAGCCAGAATAATGTCGCTCCTCGCGCATTCACGACTCGTATCCGACGAGTACGCACTCCTTAATCCTACCGATTATTAAGTGTTTGTTTAGAGCCAATAAGAGCTTTTGTCATTCACGATTTGTAATGCTAATGCGAAGTATCGCTCTTGATCATGACAAGAACAGCATCAGCAAATTATGTATAATATGGAATTATATATTTATTGCTAATCAGGTTGATAATAGTAATATTGTAAGAGTGCTTGATGCCCTCGGTCGCTTGTTATAGCATTATCATGAGTTTTCTCATATACGTTTTCAACGTTTCTAGAATATTTTTGTTTGGTTTGGTTTTTTTTTTTCATTCAAGTTCTTTGGGAACGAAAGGCAAGAAAGAGAAAAAAATTCTCTGCTTAACCTAAGCATGAGCGGAATATGGAGAATAGAGGACGATCGGAGGCAGTCGATTGGGCATTACTTTTCCCGACAGACTGATTCTATTGATCTGTCGACTGCCTCTATCTCCCTCTATCTTTGTACCGACGTCAACATCCACTGTGGCTCGTACAAACTCCGGAACTGAACGGCCCATAAAGCTAACCAATGCTAATATACAGGCTCCGCGTGTCCCCCAAAAACTGTGAACACGAACGACGGATAGCCGGAATCGACCATAAACGCGTAACCGAGCCTAATTCGCGACGTCGACGACTCTGTGCTCCAGTCATTGTGAACCCATTTTTAACAGAGCGAGCGAGAGAGAGAGAGAGAGAGAGAGGCAGACAGACAGAGTACGATAGAACGAGAAGAAAGACGTAGTACATACGTATGCGCACGCAGATATCCAGCATGCATTTTTTATACAGGATTGTACGTGGGACCCCGAACTTGCAGGAAACTGCCGGTAATGGTCGTCTAAAAGGTCAGCTATTCGACTCTACGTACAACCATTTAAATATAAAGCGAATTGAATCCGATTTTTATGGTACGTACATATATTGATAAATGTTCTGTCATAGAGACTTTGAATTTCTCTATACGTACGCCACGAATTCAAAACAAATGGTTTCGTTTCGTTACTCTGCAATACGAAATCATTTAAAGGAGTTGGTTGTCTGAACATTTCTTGACGGCTATTTAATATTGATTGCGCGCACTCGAAATCAATGGCGTTTAATATATTAGACACAACTAAAATTGTTTTCTTTTTGAAGAATTGAATGCTTTTCAATGATTAAAGGGCTCTTATCTTATTTCATTACACAAGAGTTTATTAATTGCTTAAAAATTTATTCTTTTATATCGAGTAATAGTAAATTAAAAGAACTTTTACATCATACGCAAGTGCTTAGGAAACAATAACATTTTAATTATTCTTCAATTATATAGTGAATCGTATACAAGAAATTGCAGAAAGCCGTTCGAATTCTATATCCTCAGCTTGTATTATCGCAATATATATATATATATATATATATATATATATATATAAATAAGTGTCATTATGATTTTAAAGTAAAAATTAGAT